ACCCTACAAATTAATTTCCTTTATTAGGCCTATGTCACTCGCTGGATGTCTCATTCGGCTGATGACACCAAACTGGTGCGGGTTGATTCACCACTGCTGTCCTGTAAAGATAGCTGATGATCCCATGAAAAAAGGTGTTTTCTGTAATACCAAGGAAAGAGAGCTGTTTGGTACTTTTACCATGGACCTCTCACTTCTCTCACTAACCTCTACTTCGCAACGTTAACGCCCACCTGTTGCTTCCTCTACACTTGTGACCAACTTGTATTTCTTAAAGGAGAAGAGTTTCACAATACATATGTACTGTACTGTAAACACTACAAAGCAAGACTGTTTGCGCACCCAGACTTGCAATTTCGTTTTATATTTCATTGTCATTTCAACAATCAACCTTTTGAATATTATGTTGACATCAAAACATAATTCTTATATACGTCAACATTTTGTGTAACTCCTGATAACAGCCTCTTTTTAAAAAGAGGGTTTTTTCCACGGTGAACGTATTTATTCAACCTTGACAGAGCCCCACGCCAGCTGCTGCGCCTGTTGTGAGTAAAGGAATCGGTGCTCACATTCAGAGAGCCACCCGCAGGTGCTGTGCTCACTATCAGACCGAGGCTCAGAGAATGCACTAATATGGCGGCGATCAGAACGAGTGGAGTGATGTCGCCGTCAAGTATACTCGTCATTTTTCTGTGTTTCTTGCAATTTTCAGGAGGAAAAGAAACCCCAGATCTGAAAGAGTGAGCGCGCAACTTACCATTCTTTTGTTGATAAAAGTAAACGCGCATCGCCCAACTCGCGGGCGTTTGGTTTGCACCGACTGTCGTACTCTAGCTAAAGTAAAAGAATAAAATAAAATAGATCTACTGGGTGATGAGGAGTACGTTTCTCTAGTGTGTATCTCTTCATGAAAACGCACAACATAGAGTTTGGAATAATGTTTTATCCTTAGTAGGGTTTGGTAGCGGAGCAATGATTTATGCGTAAGCATGAATCGTGTCACATCTGATATTATTATTTTTCAATTATATTGACAGTTAAAATGGAATGCATTTTATTCGGGAGTAAATATCGTGGGTTTTATTATCTTGTAAATGTTTTCTCATGATTCTCTAGACCCAAGAAATGGATCCATCGTTCCAAATTTGGTTTTATTTCTGGTTGTTACAGAGTGGCTTATAAATTAGTTGGTCTATGCACTGATCTAAGTTATTTATTGTTTTAGATTTTATAATGTTAGGCCCTACTGGTAGGACGACCAACTTCTAAAGTTGTTTTTTTTCTCAGACAACTGGTAAATATCAGTGTAACTAGATTCTAGATCTATACTGGCTTAAGTTTTATCTCTATTATCAATTTTTGTGGAAAGAATTTCTGAAAGGTAAGCTTACATTAGCTTGGCTGACTGTTGTTTTTTTTTTTTTTAAATGAGAAAGATTGAAGGAATTAATGCAGAAATTTTTTATTCGTGCAAAATGAAAGATCTTTTTCTAGCTCACACACTCTTGCACATTAGGCTACAATAACTGAGAAAGAAATAATAATCGTGAAGGTTTGGTGTTTTTTTTTGTATGCCTTCCAAATTAAATAAAAGAATCAAAACTGAAAAGCTTACAAAAATCAACTGAAGGCAGATACTCATTCAACATTGTGCATGTTGACAGTATTGACAGACATGTAGTTTTTAGGAGAATCTTTCAACTTACAAGTAGTTGTGTATCTCTTCATTATATTCTAATTGAATACATATTTCTTTTTAATGGGTTTTTTTCAGTTTCTTCTTAACTTTTTTTTTGGTCCCATGTTCTGATTTTGGAGCCGATATTTGTAGGTTGCATAAAAATGTATATATGACTATATTTATGATAAATACCTGCTTGTGTCTGTTTCAGTGTGGAGGACTGGGCCAAAGAAGTTGACGACAAGCTGTGGAATTTCAACTATTTAGTGGATGTTGTGAGAGCTGTAAGTTTCGCAATAAGAAAATTTGGGAGGACTTCTGTAACGAGCGACCACTATGAGACAGAGCAGAATTGAGGGCTTGGGGTAGGGGTAAGGTTAGGGTTAGGGGTAGGGGTAGGGGTAGGGGTAAGGGTAGGGGTAGGGGTAGGGGTAGGTCTAGGCCTCTTCTTTATTGTGTTTGATGGGGTGGTCGCTCGTTATGGAAGTCCTTCCGAAAATTTCTTGTTATAGCTGCGTTACAATTGCCCATTCAGTTTCTGCGGGTTTCCAGATAGAACTGTTTTTGTAATAAAGACACCAGGGGGCATCTTTATAGTTTCGTTTTTTGTTTCTTTATTTCTTTCTTAGTTTTTGACTGAAAAATCATTTAAGTGCCGTCATTGTTCTGATTAGGAAGATCTCTTTTTCTTTAATAAAATTGTTCTCTCAAAACTACTAAAAGCACGCAAAAAAACCCCAAATGACTTTAGCTCTTGTGGAATGATGCTGGTGATTGTGTTTAATTCAGCGAGATAATGATTAATGCTTACTGCTTTACTTAAAACTTACTTGCCATCCTTTGATTCAGTGTCATGAAGTGACAGTCACTGCTTTTCTGTAGCTCTGATGTTGCTTAGAGAACTGTTCGGACATGGAGTGAAAAAACCCCACAATTTAAGGAAAAAAAGGAATAGGTTTTGCTTTTTTAAAGAATAATAGGGCTGTTCGTTTTCTTGTTTTTTGTTTTTAAAAAATAAAATAATTTTAATATGTTTGTCATGACTCATATTTCTATAATGAAAGAATGATAGTGAAATATTTGTTGATTTATAAAGAAGGTTGTTGGTGCTAAATTGTTTCAATTGTTTGTATTTCTGATTTACTTGGGAAAAAAACTTAGGTGTGGAAGTCTGAATGTTTTTTGTTCTTCAATTAATTTGCTTTTTCAGACTTACAAAGAAAAAAGCACGGACGCGAATCCAGACCCAGGCATTCGCATGCAGTATGAGAAAGTTAACGAAGAAGAAATGGTTCAGACGATGGCAGACAGCCTTGCCCAAATGTTGAAGAAAAAAATGGATGCTTTGAAGGTATGATCGACACACCCTCAGCCTGTTCAGGCATGAATAGAAAGTTATAACATTGAAATTGCCCCAAGGTGTATTTCTTTTCCTTTGCATTTTGTCTAATTTGTTGTAAAAATTACGAGTTTTTTGGGGTTTTTTTGGTATTGCCATGGAAATTAAATCATTATGAAAAGCTTAACTATTTGCTTGGAGGCCTCAAATCGGACAAAGTACAGACACATATTGATGGTAACAGTCGCAAACCATGTTAGTCGGAAATTACGACTTTCAAGGAAAATAGTTTGTGAGTTATGAGTATGCGGGGAAATGAATATATTAAATGCATTTTGTGCCCGTGATGTATTTTGTAATTTTCGCTCTATTAACTCGCAATATGATGCAAGAGGCTTTCGAAGCGATCTTCTTTATCAAAAAAAGAACTTGATCTAATTTGTACTTGGACAGTTTGTGACAGTTATCGTCAATGTAAAATTTATGCTACTGAAATTTGGGGCTTGAATGGTAGTTTGTTAAGCTGTTTGATTCCCCTCTTAAATTGTCACGTTTGGGTTTTAGAAAATGAAAGGTAGAATTAGTGTACAGTAAACTTAATACTCTTACCTAAGGTTAATTCTTCAGTTTTGGTTCCACATGAGAAAAGAATATTGTCTTTGTGACTTTGTTTACTGAAGGTTTCAAAGGCTTTTATTATGATAAAAGTTTTATTCTAATAAAGATTGAGATGAATTTGTGCTGTTTTAAAAATGTATTGCCAATGTAATACTTTATTTTCAGACTAATTAGATTAGTTGAATTTTGCATATATATCAAAGGGTATGAAGGATGATGTATGGCCACATGAATAAACCACTGGTCAAAGATCCAATCAATGAGTTGAGGAGGGGAGATCAATCCATAATCTTCCAAATTAGAACACAACATGTACCCCTCAACCAACATCTCAACCAAATTGGAGTAAAGCAGTCTGCTGCCTGCCCACTATGTGACTACCCCTCAGAGACAGTGGAACATCATCTGTTCTTCTGTAGAAAACTAACTGATTTATGTTTTCTTCCCAAGCTACCCCACACATCTAATTGCCTCTAATCCTCAAGACTACAATTAGAACAGACATGCAGCTATTACCGAATAGCATCATGCAGAAGAGTTAACGCTCAGATGCTACTGGATCGCTAACAACAACAACAACAATCAAAGGGTATTCTAAAATGTTTCAAGTTTTTTTATCACTTCTATAAACATGTGTGAGGTGGAAACCAATCTGTTCTTTTTGTTACTTAATAATGATGATGACAAATTTTTACTTTTTCAGCTGTCTGTTGAGAAAGCTGAAGAAGTGGCAGCTAATTATGAGTGGAACAAAAACCTGGTGGTAAGGCTTGTATTGTATTCTTTTTCAATGCTGTGTACGTTATCGGTGCTTTGTTGTGTAGGTTTTGCATTACAAAAATCTATAAGATGCAATGGACTAATTCTGTGTTCAGGCTGATCTTTCTCCTCAGACAGGCCCGTGCACAAGTGCAATCGACACATATTCTTGCATTCTGCCTCTTTGTCTTTAAAGAAATTTAACCATTTCATTCCAAAAGAAGTAACTAGACCTAGGCCTACAGATTATGCATTTAATGGGAAAAGTCAAGGAGACATTAGTCTTCCTGAATATAACCTGTAACGTTAAGAGCATGATTTTCAATTAATGTAAAATATTAGTTTGAGATTGTTAAACATTCATTATATAAATCAAGTAACTATGTACTGAAGCTTATTGGGAGGAGCACTCATAACTTCAGTGACGGTCACTTTACCTCAGCTGTGGGAGGCTATATGTATGTTCTATTCAGCAAGCCATTTTAGGAGATGGGGTATTCAATTGCTGTTTAGTTCTGCCTTTTGCTGCGATGTAATGATGGATTCGAAATTATTATATCTGAAGTAGAATTTACAATTGATTTTTTGTATTTCTGTTGCTATATTTTACAGAAAGATAATGTTCATTATGTGAACGCTAAAGAAATTCTAAGCAACGGGCTGGAACTGACGTATGATGAACGTTTTGGAAAAGGCGTTAACTTGAACACTTCAAGTGTGCACATACCTGTGGAAATATATGACGGAAGTAAGTTAAATTCTTGATGTTATTTTTGTTGTATACAATTGCCTTAGAAGTGGTTTTTGAGCTTTGAATGAGCGGAACTTTGCTGTAATAATAAATGATCACTAAGAATGTTTGCTTTTTATTGCTGGTGTTTGCATATATAGTGACTGAGGCATTTTAGTACTGATATTTATGTATTGAATAACTGGAGCATTTTATTACTGATATTTATGTATTGAATAATTGGAGCATTTTATTACTGATATTTATGTATTGAATAACTGGAGCATTTTATTACTGATATTTATGTATTGAATAACTGGAGCATTTTAGTACTGATATTTATGTATTGAATAACTGGAGCATTTTATTACTGATATTTATGTATTGAATAACTGGAGCATTTTATTACTGATATTTATGTATTGAATAACTGGAGCATTTTATTACTGATATTTATGTATTGAATAACTGGAGCATTTTATTACTGATATTTATGTATTGAATAACTGGAGCATTTTATTACTGATATTTATGTATTGAATGACTGGAGCATTTTATTGGTGATGTTTACATATTGAATGACCGGAGCATTTTTTGTACAGATATTTACATGTTGGAACCACTGGAGCATTTTTTGTACAGATATTTACATGTTGGAACCACTGGAGCATTTTTTGTACAGATATTTACATGTTGGAACCACTGGAACATTTTTTGTACAGATATTTACATGTTGGAACCACTGGAGCATTTTTTGTACAGATATTTACATGTTGGAACCACTGGAGCATTCCTCTGTCATTCTTGAACCCTCCAAATAGTTGTGTTTTTATTGCAGATAATGACATATATCATATAGAACGGATTGAATGTTCCACCGTCAATCATAACTGCTCAAAATATTTACTTCTTATCGCACATATTGACTTGACATATTGAATGGCTTGAACATTCCTCTGTTATATTCCACTGCTAAATATGTTTGTACCCCTCGGAGCAGTGCTACTGACTGAAGTGTTTTTAGGCCATTCCCAAAGGGGGACATTAACATGTTCTTGTGGCTCATATGATCTTATGCAGGTGCGAGTGCTGTAAAGACTCTACTAAAACTAAACTTAAAAATGTTTGTGTATATCTACTACAAGTATTGACATATTGAACGGCTTGAACAATGTTTGTGTATATCTGCTGCAGATATTGATATATTGAACGGCTTGAACTGGTCTGCGGCCCTGGAGAAACAGTTTGAGCTGAACTACAAGGCTGATCCGGAGATCCAGTGGCAGTACTTTGGTTCCCAGACAGGCTTCATGAGGACATATCCTGGTTTGTTCAGTCGTTCGTGTATTCAGTAGAGAAAATATTTTTTTGCTTGTGCTTGGAAAAAAAAAGAGGGGAATAAAATGGCTTGATTTCTAAATGTCGTAATTACACAATGCCATGACAGACATTAGGCTCCCTAATGAAAATGAAGTTTATCCACTCAAAACGCTTCAAGAAAATCCGTTTTTTGTCTCTCCTGTAAAATTTGAAAAAACGCGACTTACCATAGTTTACTTGGCAGCCCTCGATATGTAAGTTTCTGAAAATGTAGTTGCTGTAGCTGCTTATGATCTCTTTGAAACTTTTTTTCACTGACTGTTGTATACACAAGTTATGAGTGATTGGTTTGGAATTGTTCCCTTTTTTAGACTGGTCACTTTTATTTTATTTTACTGGTAAAATGGAATAGAAAATTAATCTGAAGCTCGAATAGATGGTTATGAATTCTTGGGTTTATTTTTTTTTATTATCTGAAACTTTTTACTGATTATTAAATAGCATATTATGTGTAATAAGTGTTTTCAAATGGGTAAATCAAATTTGTCTTATTTAGTTGGCTTGAAATTAGGCGTACAACTCTGTTGGAAGTAATCCTGATTTCGTGTGGTCGAGGAAAACAAATAGGTCAGCGGAGAATGAAAGTTTTCTTCCTGTTTCTATTTGATTGTAAAGAAATGCTGATAAGTTCCTTTATCTGTCTAATTTCTCGCAGCGACCCAGTGGCCTGGAAATGGAGTGGATCTTTACGATGTGAGGAGACAATCTTGGTAAGTAATTGACTTCGAAAGTTGAGAAGGCAAAGAGCCGTTAGTTATTCTTCAGTTCAGCATCATTATCACTACTATCATTTGTATTTTATCATCATCATCATCGTTATCTTCATCTAGTATAAGGCTCTAAGTATATTGACAATGGAGCGGAAAAAGAGCCTCGCTCTCGCTCTCGCTCAAAGATTTCTTCGTGGAGTCCACCAGGCCCTTTAAGGAAACAAAAAAAAATCATCATCTTCATCATCTTCATCATCATCTTCATCATCATCATCATCATCATCATCATCATCATCTTCATCATCATCTTCATCATCATCATCATCATCGTCATCATCGTCATCATCATCATCGTCATCATCATCATCATCATCATCATCATCATCATCATCATCATCATCATCATCAGCCTTTACAACTAGTGGTCTTGACACACACTTCAAGCTGCTGATGAGACTTCTTAAATTTCTAGTGCTTCATGACAGGGTGAAATTGTGCTGATGATAAAGTGTAATATGTTCTATGATGAGACCTCTATATTTTTCTTAAAGAGAAGATAAGATAAGATAAGATACATCTTTATTGTCCAGATCATGGATGATGGTAAAAATGACTTTCTGTATCTTTCTTTGTTACAGATCAGAAGCCCAGGTCTTTTACTTCTGACTGATGTTTTTATTTGAGAGAACAAGGGATGTTTACTGTCCAAAGAGATGGAATTAATTTTTTTTTAGTGCAACCTGTAATGTACAATTCATCCAAGTTACAACTTTGTTAGTATTCACCTGACTCCAGAGTTCTGTTGCTGACATGACCTATTTTTCACCGGTGCTCTCACTTCACTCGACAGGTACACGCAGGGCTCCAGCTCTCCCAAGGACATGATGATCCTGATTGACACGTACGTTGTTTGTGCACCAATCTGTAAATGACTTGGTTGCTTTTAAAGACAAGCGGGCTAACCCAGATTTCGGGGGTTTTCGAGAAATCTTGACCAACACCAAAAGTGGGCATTGCCCTACCTTTAGGAGAAGTTTGGTTTCATTGGTGTGTATATTTGTTTTGGTTATAGAGAAAACTCTCCTTGTCTTTTAAAGAAATTGAATAAGGATCCAAAAATTTTACCATCGATTTTCTCAAAACAGCATTTTTCGGGATAGTCCCCTTGTGCTTAAAAGCGACCATTTACGTTCTAAAGATTGTTTAGTGGGTAGTTGCTGGGTGCTGTGGTAAGGTTTGCTCCATCTTTCTTGTAAAAATCTATCATCCTTAGCTCTTTTTCTTTCTTTTTTTTTGGTATGTTTCTTTCTAATCTTTGGCACCTTAATGATCTGTTTGTGGTGCAAGTGCTGTAAAACTTTTACTAAAACTAAAATTTAATCACTTTTTGTTCTCACTGTAACAGAGGTAAGGAGCTTTCAAATGCTAAAGGCTGAGCAGCTTTCAATGTCCAACATGTCTACCAGATGAATAAATGAGTAGTTTCTGTTTGGTGAAACCTAATGGACAGTAATGTTTGCAGGACTAGCCCAGTAGTTGTCTGCCCCTTAACTCTTTTATCTCCGACAAGCCGGGACTAGCCCAGTAGTTGTCTGCCCCTTAACTCTTTTATCTCCGACAAGCCGGGACTAGCCCAGTAGTTGTCTGCCCCTTAACTCTTTTATCTCCGGCAAGCCGCTTGCGGTCGGGCACATTCCTTTACCATTTTGAATTTAAATTATTTTTTGGCAATTGCCCAAAACAGGTCTCTTTTTATCGGGATTTCATCATGTTTTGATTTAAGTTCACTTGTTTTGATTTATTGACCCATTTAGTGGCTTTTTTGTCATTTTTAGATTTAATACGGTAGTGGGTTTGCCCTCTCGGAGATATAGAGTTGAACAGTCTGATCTCCACTCAGTGGTTGATATGTTGTGACTGATTGTTGTGAACTTTGAAATGTGTGAGTTAAACAGTCTCACACCCCCCAGGGTAGCTCTACTGACTGAAGTGTCTTTAGGCCATTCTCAAAGGGGGGACATTAACATGTTCTTATGCACAGTAGAATTCAGATGGGCTGATTCTTCAATGTCATGATCATAACTGCCTGAACTGCAACAGGGAACTGCTGCTTTTTCTATCTTAATCCTTACTATCGTCATTTTTCCTCTACTTCTTTTGTATGTTTGTCACACTCTTGTGACCCGCTATTTCTGGGGTGCCTTGATAGTCGAAGCAGACTTTATGCTGTTGAAACTGGAGAGGTGAGCAGCGTGAGCATGATTTCCTGTAAGGACTTCTCTGTTGACATCCACCCCTTGGCGCTGATTGTTGTGAACTTTGAGATGTGTGAGTTAACTGATTGTGAACTTTGAGATGTGTGAATTAACTGATTGTGAACTTTGCTGTTGGCAGGAGTGGCAGCACACACGGCCAGTCGCTGCAGCTGATGCAGAACGCGGTCAAGTCCATTCTGGATACGCTAGGGGAGAACGATTTTGTCAATATTGTTTCAGTAAGTAGTTGTCTTTGGAAACTTTGTTCAGTAAGTAGTTGTCTTTGGAGACTTTGTTCAGTAAGTAGTTGTCTTTGGAAACTTTGTTTACTCGGACCACTTGTCTAGACTTTGGAGAGATCTGAAGGAAATATTATAAATGCAAGAAATTGCATGCAAGACATTTTTTCCGTCGTTGGTCCCAACAGAATTTTGAATTTTATGAAGGCCATTGGCCTTTATGGCAACTTGTAAAGTGAAACAATATTGTTAAAAAATTGTTTTTGTTATTTATACAAGTTGTTTTAAATCGTCAATATATTTACACCGAATTTTAGTATTTTAGCATTTTAAAGTCTAATTGTCGACCAACCGTGCAGTGAACTGTTGCGAATGCTACCAACTTGTGTTTCACAGTTGCGAGCGCCGTAAAACCCTATACTGTACTATACTTGGAAGGTTTGGATTATTTTTGTGTGGAGGGAAGGGCAGTGCTGGTAGGTCCTCCCTTTTTATTTTTTTAGATTTGTCATTTTTGTCCATTGCTTCATACTTTTCCTGCGCTAAATGGCCACAATTATGTTGATGTGCTTCTGTTGAAAGCTCGGAAGATGATAAAGTGTCTGTTCATCGTGTAATTAGATGGTGAAGTCATGACTTACACATATATGCATTTGGGTGGTTTGTGGCTGTTCTGGTGCTCCTTCTGTCCTGTCAAACGTCTGTCTTCCTTATCTCTCCTCCTTCTGTCCTATCAAACGTCTGTCTTCCTTATCTCTCCTCTTTCTGTCTTATCAAACGTCTGTCTTCCTTATCTCTCCTCCTTCTGTCCTATCAAACGTCTGTCTTCCTTATCTCTCCTTCTGTCCTATCAAACGTCTGTCTTCCTTATCTCTCCTCCTTCTGTCCTATCAAACGTCTGTCTTCCTTATCTCTCCTCCTTCTGTCCTATCAAACATCTGTCTTCCTTATCTCTCCTCCTTCTGTCCTATCAAACGTCTGTCTTCCTTATCTCTCCTCCATTTCTTTGTATGCTAATCTCTTGTAACACCTCTTGTCTTCAGCACTTACATGACCTGTTTGTCATGGAAGTTCCGTGAAACTTTTACTGAACTAAAACTTGCAGCTTTCAGGGTTGATGGTTTTTCCTTCCTCAACTTAAGATGCGTGTCTATGGTAATGAATGACTTAAATAATCAAGTCTAGCTCTTTTTTTTAAAATGCGCATAAAAATGTGAGAGGGGAGAGACCCAGCACATCTCACATGGCAGGTAGTGAAGGAATTTTCTTGCATTCTTTCCTCTTCATTGTTTTTTGTGACCCTCCAGAATTTGAACATCAAAAATGGAAGAAGAAATTTTTCTTACGTTCAAGATGCATTTTAATTTTGTAATTCCACAGTTTGCAGAAAAAGCGACATTTGTCAGCAAATGCTTGAACCATACGGCCTTTGTGCAAGCTAACTACAGAAACAAGAAGGTAAAGTTAAATTTCGTTGGTGGTTGGTGGGTGCTCTGGGGTGGTTTGCTTCTTTTTTCCTATGAAACATCTATGGTCTTTATCTCCCCTCCTTTTTTTTTGGTGTTTGTTACTCTCATGTGACACCTCTAATCTTCGGCACTTGTATGACCTTATTGTGGGGCAAGTGTCGTAAAACTTTTACTAAAACTAAATTTAAATTGTACTCAGTGCATTATATAAATTTACGGAATGCCTCGTTCACTGAGTATCTTTCTTTTACTTTGTAGCTGGTAACACAGCCTTTTTTTCTAGATTGACAGGAGATGTGTTTTAGTTGTGTGGGTTTTTTTCTTTCAGTTGCTATCTTTCCGTGGTTGTTGTCCTTGTACGACTTCATCTGGAATGAGGGGTTCACAGGAAAAACGGGCATAGTCACAAGATGGAAATTGGAAGGCTTTCAATTTTTAAAAGGATGTGTCGCTGAAATTTCAATCAATCTTGTTTAGAGTCACTTTTTGGGTTCTGAAAAATTTTAATGTGTCCCACACGCTCATATATGACCTTATGCAGTTGCGAGCACCGTAAAACACTTACCAAAAATATAAAGAAAACTTCTTTGGGTGGATTGTTCTTTATACTCGTAGTATACATTTGGTTGTTGGTTGTTCTGTTGTGCTTGATTTCACCGTCTGTATTTCACCAGTTGTAAGGGAGCATGTTATTCTGTCACCTAGGGATATTTTTCTCCCTGTAAAAGAACAATCTACCCAGAAAGCGAAGATAGACAAGATGTCCTGAAACTTTTCAGGCCGGCTGAAAGGTGTTCGAATCCCTGACTTCTTTAGAGATGCCCAAACTCCTTAACTTTAATGATCACTAATGTTTGAAATTAAATTGCCTTCGCTAGTTTTCATTTGAAAAAGAGCAGCTTTACTTATTAAATCATGTTTGCACTGAAAGTGCAACTTTTTGATTGCTTATCCATGGATCATATTTGATTTTTAAACTGCTTCTGTCTTCGCAGCAACTGGAAAGAGACGTCGACCGTCTCAAAGCGCTCGGACAAGCAGACTTCAGCGAAGCTATCAAATTTGCCTTTGAAAAGTTCATTGAGGTCAGTGAAGCTGGTTGCTACATGTAAGAGTAATGGTGTTTCTGTCAGTATCGTGGGCTCGTCTGGAAGGGGAAAAAACGGTTTATGCTCTGTAATGGTTTTCCCCTTACACGGGGTGCCCGCCCATTACGGCTGGATTGGGCATATCACCCGACTCGGTCGCCTGAAACTGAAAACAAACGCGTTATTTGTTTTTTTAGGCGACCGAATCTGGCGATCGGCCGGACCCAACGATCCCATCCGTAATGGGCACCCCGTATTTCCTATCACACATTTATTATCCTTATCTCCCCTTTCTTCCTGTTACTCTCTAGTAAAACCTCTAATCTTAGGCACTGGTATCGCCTATTTGTGTTGCTAGTGCTTATAAGCTCTTATTGAAAAAGCTCTTATTGAAACTAATACATAGGTGGTTGGTGGGTGCTCTGGTGTGGTTTGCTTCTTCTTTCCTATCAAACATCTATTGCTTTTATCTCCCCTCCTTCTTTTTTGTGTTTGTTACTCTCTTGTAACACCTCTAATCTTCGGCACTTATATGACAACCTTATCGTGTTGCAAGTGCCGTAAAACTTTTACTGAAACTAAACTCCCCTTTCTTCTTTTTTTTGTCTGTTAGTCTTTAGTAAAACCTCTTCTAGGGGGCTCTAATGGCCTAGAGGTTAAGGTGTTGGCCTCTCAATCAAAGGTCCCGGGTTCGAATCCGGGTAACGACTGAAAAATTTTCTTCTCTAAAATTGTCTCCTTTCACCTCCTTTCCTGCTCTCTAACAATGTTCTGTTGTCTGCTTTCATTTCCACTTTCTGCCCCCACCCCCTCACCTCCTTTGCCCCCTCCTCTGGGCTCCTGACTCTTTCTGCAGCCTTTCTACTGCTACTCCTTGGCTCCTCCTTACTGCTGTCTTTCTGCCACACCCCTGATCTTCTGGTAGGAAAGATCTACACCTAGCCTTCTCGGACAAGGGCGAAAAATCTCGGAGGGCCCGTGTGCAAGTTGCGCACGTTAAAGATCCCTTGGTGGTCTAAAATCGATAAGAGTAGGCTTCGGCCGCCACCCGGGCAAAATTCAAAATTTCCTACCAACTGAAAATATTAGGTGTGTCCCGCGCGCTCATATGACCTTATGCAGTTGCGAGCGCCGTAAAACACTTTACAAAAACAAACAAAAAAACCTCTAATCTTAGGCACTAGTATTACCTAACAGTGTAGCAAGTGCCTTGAAGCTCTTTATTGAAGTGGGTGGTTGGCGGGTGCTCTGGTGTGGTTTGCTTCTTCTTTCCTATCAAACATCTATCGTCCTTATCTCCCCTTCTTCTTTTTTTTGTTTGTTGCTCTCTTGTAACACCTCTAATCTTCTGGCGCTCATATGACTTTATGCAGTTGCGAGCGCCGTAAAACCTCTACTAAAACTAAAAGTCTTTATTAAAACTAATACAAGACTGAACAAAGACAACGTTTGTGGTTGACAGTTCAGCCAGAATGAGACGAACGACGAGAACAACATCGGCGCCAACTGCAACAAGGTGATCATGTTGTTGACCGACGGAGGCACCGACAACGCCAGGGACGTGTTCAAGAAGTACAACTGGGACAATAACAACAAAACGGTGAGTGAGTTGTCCCCCTTGCCTTGACACTTTGCCGATCACAAGGCTCATATAGTAAAAACCTTTTGCCATCAAAGACCAAGGCATTTTGGGGAAAATTCCAAAGAAACTGGGTGATAAACATCGCCGATCGGCGAGATGTTTGGAAGTTGGGAATATTGGCAGCCCTGATTTGTAAAGCAACAACTAAAACTGAAACCTAATAGTAAAATGTTTGTCATCATAGAAGCCATTCTCAAAGTGGGAACATAAACATGTTCTTGTGCTCAGTAGAATTGTAAATGGGCTGATTCATCAATGTCATGCTCACAACTGTGCCTGATCTACAACAGGGAACTGCTGCTTTTTCTTTCCTAATCCTTACTATCGTCATTTTCCTCTACTTCTTTTGTTTGTCACACTCTTGTGACCTGCTATTACCGGGGTGCCTTGATAGTCTAAGCAGACCTTGTCCTGTTGAAGCTAGAGAGGTGAGAGGAATAAGCTTGATTCCGTGTATGGACTTCTCTGTTGACATCCACTCCTTAGCACTCATATGACCTTATGCAGTTGCGAGCGCCGTAAAACCTTACTAAAACTAAACCAAAACACTCTGGCATACGTATTACTATTCAGTTTTTGTTCTTCAACTTGAATTCGGCTATTGTTTTCTATATTCTAGTTCATACCTTGCTGTTCTATAAGTTTTATCCGAACAAAGTCATCTGTGATGTGTTGAATATTTTCTTTATTGCTTCTCTGAGTGTGCTCATTTATGGTCTCCCCACCAGGTCCGTGTGTTTACCTACGCTGTGGGACCCACCCCAAACCCAATCACAGCGGTCAGGTGGATGGCCTGTGCAAACAGAGGTGAGGAAATGATATGAGTGCTGTGGTTTTGGTACCATCTCTTCCGCAGACTAAAATCCAATCTTTTATTTCTTTGTGATCTTTAGTATGTTACAGATAATCTAAGTGATAATAATAATAATGATATTAATAATAATAATAATAATAATATGTAATAATTATATTAATAATAATGATAATAATAATTAATATTTAATAATAATTGCATTTAACACTTTGCCATCATATTTTGGGGAATATCCAAAGAAACTGGGTGGTAAACAGGCGAGATGAGGCGGCAAAGTGGTAAATTGGCTTTTAGAGCCAACAGGTGGCTGTTGGAGCAGGTGTGACTGTACTTTTCCCTGTGTTGTCCTCTCGGCCAGGTTACTTCTCTCAGATTCCTGCCATGGGAGCCATCCGAGCCAGAGTCCAGGTAACATCTCTCTATGTGTGCTCTATGTGTGTACTATGTGTGCTCTGTGTGCTCTGTGTGTGTACTATGTGTTCTCTGTGTGTTGTGTGTGCTGTGTGTACTCTGGACGTCTGTGTACTACAGACGTTTGTGTGATGACTTTGTTTGTGGTTAAAACAGGGGGTGGGTGGGTTGTTGTGGGGGGGGGAGGGGTAGATGAACATCAGTGGTTAGAAAAGAGTGTGTGTGTGGGGGGGGGGGGGAAGGGGTATGTGATCACGAGAAAGGGGAAGGACTCTTTGTGCTGTGGGAACAACAGCAGTAATGGTTATATTTTGTTGCTGTGTGCGTTGGAGAACGTTCAGTGGACTCAATATGAGATGTGGGGGGGGGGGGGGGGGGAACGAAGAAATGGAAACTTACCCCTAATGTCGGTTGAATCTGACCACGCAGGCTCTTGCTTCGTCCCTCGTTTTTGAGTTGATGAAAAAGTTGCACTATGATATTTCTTGTGTTGTAAGGATGAACACAATTATTATAGATTCCTTGACTGATGGGATGCAGCAATTGATTTTTTTCCGCTCATATTAGGAACAGATGGGTCTGGGTTTTTTGGTTTATTCATTAATGGGGTTGTTTTATTTTTTTCTTAAACTGAGAAGATGACAGAGTTGTCGAATAATTGTCGCAAGCAAGATCACAGAAATCTGTTGCTTTATGTGTTTTTAATTAATAATCATTGGAAAATGCTAGATAGTCCATTTTATGCATATTTTCCTCCATCCAACTGTCCTATTTCAAACTTATTCACTCTGTGAACCCAGTAAATATAAATCAAGTATTTTAGTTCAGCTCTCATGTAGTCGATGTTTGAAAAGTTCGTACTCCGAGATCCCTTGCACGATTAATTTTTAAAAACACATTTTGTCGTGGTTTTGATTTGATTAAACAGCTGTAAATATAAATAGTTATAGGTGATGCTAATGTTTAATGATGATGATTCTTATTTTCAGCGCAGCGTCATGTGTGAACTCAAATTTCATGATCGTACCTTGTTTCAGAAATGAGTATCATATAACTTGTTGGTGGGTGGTTGGTGGGTGCTCTGGTGTGGCTCGCTCCTTCTTTCAAGTCAAACATCTCACCTATCGTCCTGATCTCTCCTTTTTTTGTGTGTGTTATTCTCATATAAAACCTGTAATCTTTGACACTTTTGACCTCTTTGTGTTTCAAGTGCTGTTCAACTCTAACTAAAACTAAAACTAAACTGGGTTGATGACCCTCTGTGGTATTTATGTCAACTCATGAGTCTATCTTTTTGTCTGTTTCATTTGTTCTTTTTCGTGGGTGGTTGGCGGGTGCTCTGGTATGGTTTGCTCGCTCCTTCTTTCCTACCAAACATCTATCGTCCTGATCTCTCCTCCTTTTTTGTGTTTGTTAATCTCTTGTAACACATCTATTCTTCTGCACTTGTATGACCTTATTTTGTGTTGCAAGTGCTGTAAAACTCTTACTAAAACTAAACCTCTTCTTTTTCATCTTTCTTTACCTGTATAATGCCAGCAGTCGTTGTTGTGCTTTCCCAGTAAGCTTTTAACATATTATTATCCAGTGGGTGGTTGGTGGGTGCAGCGATGCAGCTTGTAACTTGTACCTTTGTTCTGTGTTTCTGTTAATGCTTCTGTTACTGTTTCTATTATTCTTATCTGCTCCTGGCCACTATGGCTGTCATGAAGCTGACTTTGTGACAACTGCCTCTCGGCTCTCTGACTGTGGGCGTTAGGTGGACACTCTGGTCTGGTTCGCTACTTCTTTCTATCATGCATCTATCATCCTTATCTCTCCTCCTTCTTTCCGTCGTATGTTACTCTCCAGTAAAACATCTAATCTTATTTGTTTTGCAAATGCCATAAAACTCCAACAAAAATTAAATTAGACTTGTCACTGGTTCATAGCTTCTCTGGTCGCAATCATTGTATTGGCCAATGATGTGTACATCAAAGCGGCATTTTATTGCAATGTTCGGGGTCCATAAAATATCGTCTGGATAAGATTCAGTGAGGGTCTGAACAGAGGAAAGCTGTGTTCTAGCTGACACGATGCCATCATGTTATTGTGACTTCAAGTATTTGGATATGTTTGTGTGGGTTGTTCGTGGATGTTCTGGTGTGGTTTGCTTGTTCTTCTTTCCTATCAAACATCTATCGTCTTTATCTCCCCTCCTTTTTTTTGTGTTTGTTACTCTCTTGTAACACCTCTAATCTTTGGCACTTATATGACTTTATAGTGTTGCAAGTGCCGTAAAACTCTTACTAAAACTAAAAATTGGACATGTTTGTCACTTGTGAATTTAATGTTAATCTTCTGCAATGTTTGAACTGAAGAGTTCCAAGAAAATAGTGTTGCCGACACTGTAGAACTGTAAACAAATTGATTCCTTGTTATATTTCTTTCCACATTCCGAAAAATTAAGTCCATTGATGCTTTGCATTATATCTAACCCTGCATTAACATAGGGACTGATGCTACCAGCATTCTCTGTAGTTTCAGACGGTTACAAAGTATTTACTGAAGTTACAAAGTATTCACAGAAGGTTACAAAGCATTCACAAAAGTTATAAAGCATTCACAAAAGTTATAAAGTTACAAAGTATTTACTGAAGTTACAAAGTATTCACAGAAGGTTACAAAATATTCACAGAAGGTTACAACGTATTCACAGAAGGTTACAGAAGGTTACACAGTATTCACAGAAGGTTACAAAGTATTCACAGAAGGTTACAAAGTATTCACCGAAAGTTACAAAGTATTCACAGAAATGGAACCTGCAAGGGAATGGGGATGACGCTTTATGAATTTTTTTTTTTGGTTTTAGTCTCTTCTGAGATTCCATATGAGCAGAATCCGACCGTATTGTAAGTCAGAACTATTATGAGATTATATTTTTTATGGTGACTTTCATGTAATTTATTTCTCAGAAAAGATGAGTAAGTACAATACATAGTGTCAGGGGCACCTTTACACCATTGTCCTTGTAGGAAAGAAGCAAAATCTATTTTTCAAAAAGGTGGACACTTTGATTTCACTGTGGATATGTACATGACTTTTGTCACCGAATGTGCGGATTGGTATTTGGATGGATGAGTGAGTGGATGGTGATCGTGGATGTGTAAAGACTGAATGAACAAAAGTCATAGCTTTATATCATGCTACAGGATCTTGTCCATACCTGGAATTTGGGTGTTCTTTTAGAGAGAGTTATGTACTCCATTTTGTCTGAAAATTGGTATTTGTGAACTTCAGGTTTATTCTAGAAATAGATGAGAGGAGAGAATAACAGTTTATAACAAAGAGTGAGCTTAAGAAGAAGTCACATTTTCAATGTTTAAAAAAATGGAGATGCGAGTAGAAAGCACCGAGGTGGCGATTTGTATAACTCTTCTGTAAGACTAAGAAAAGATTGAAACAGTTAGTGCTAACATTGGATAATGAAGATGTGAGATTCAGGATGTTGTACAAATAAGAGATGAGAATAGAATAATGCTATGGCACTTCCATGAAAGTGATTTTTCTTGCATGAACATTTGTATAACTTTTCTTTACGTGTTGTAAAAGATTTATAGTGCAATTACGCGTAACTGAAGATGTGAGATTCAGAATGTTGTATAAATATGTGAAGAGAATAGAGTACTGCTATAGCACTTCAATGAAAGTGCTTCTTCTTGCATGTAAATTCGTATATTTTTTCTTTAAGTGTCATTAAAGATTTATAGTGCAAACCTGACGTGTAAATGAAGATATGAGCTTCAGGATGTTTGTATGAATATGAGTATGAGTCATTATTTAGTCCAAATATGGTTCTGGGAGAATTCTTAAGAATCAAGATGTGTGGTTCCCTTGTGGTGTTTGTGTGCAGAACTGCGATGTTGAAGCTTTCTCGCTCTCTCTCTGTTTCCCTTCTACGCTGCTTGAAATGTGCAAAATGGCAGGACTATGTCCTCGTTCTAGAGCGGCCCCTGGCCTTGGCCCACATAGAACATGAAATGTGGACCAGTAGCCACAAAAATGTGTACTACGCAAAAGGCCAGAACCCGGTATAACCTTCCTCCCATCTCGGTTCATCACTCGTCTTCTTCTCTTTGCTTGACTTTAATCGTTTCTATTGGGCTGTTCATCTTGGATTGCTTCAGTTTTGGTTCTTTATCTCTACAATACCTACAATATTATTATGCTATTTTCATTCAAAGTTGAAGGAGAAAGTGAACAACAGAATTGTTTTTATTCAGAACGAAACAAATGTAATCATAATGAAGTTTGGTTGTTCTCGAGAACAACAGGACATTTTGTAGCCCTTGCTAATGAATCATATTTTGGCAAGAAGGAAACACAGACATACTCACTGTCCCCTCCCCTTCCCCATCTCACACACACCCAAACAGAAAACAGACGAAGTCATGGAATGATGAAAAGGTTAGGAATATATCCAAATCTCAATAACAGTGGCACCCAAAGAGGTGTTTCAGTTGCACACATGCTTTTCAATGAGAAAAATGTAAGATTTATTAACTTAACAGGTTTTTTTGGTAGGCAAATGTCCTTTTTTTAAGATAAGAGCTTGTCTAGAAGGATGCGTGTAGTATTGCTGTCCAGCTTGCTTTACGTGTATCATCATATACCTAGTTATTTGAGGGAGTAGCATGGTATTTTTTGTCGGTGGGTTTCCAGATTGCGTATCTTTTGATGATTGGGTGCAGTTAATCATGCTATGCGTATAATATATTTATGTATTATATATATTATATATATCTATATATATACTTATTTGAATATATCCTCTCTTTTTTTTTTCTCAAGCGTACATGGTACATATTTTTTTTTTCTTCTCATTTTGGTCCATACAGGATAAGGATGCTTTTATGGGAGTTGTTGCTTCTTCATGATGCTCATTGCGGTTCTTTCAGTAAATACAGCTCTCCATAACTATACATATATATATAATATACATTATATATACACTTTCC